TACTATATAAACATTGATACATTATACAACTTCATCATCTCAATAATCGCTCATATATCTTTCATAATCTATAGAAAAAGAAAATAGGAAATACTCAAGTTCATGCTGTTAATAAATAACCTTTTACTTGATATTTATGCACAAAATATAGTTAAGTGTATGATAACGACTATTTTTTAATTTAACAGTAAAAACAACACTACTCATTTGATAATTGAGAAGGAGAATAAGTCAAAAAGAAATTATCTTATTTCTTATTTTAAAAAATTTATTGAAAGATACATATATACTACTTTTCCTCTTCATCAAATAGTAAACTCTACACAAGTAATATATTCATTATTCTTGGCGTCAAAATCTAATGCATGTCAATATTTTTTGAATATCTCGAGAATACCAATAGCTAGAAACCTACAGTTTTCACCAGACATTTTTGAAAAAAAAACTTTCTCAACTAATAATATGTTCCCATTTAGCGAATCGATAGTGAAGGCATCTTCTAGCTTATTACATTCAGGAGCTAAAAACCTTGAAATCAATTAATTAACTACTAGTCATTCTAAACTGTATTGAATTTGATGTATTCGTCTAAGCTCGGTTCAATGACGATATTTGTTTTTAGTTTCAACATGATTGTAAGTTGCTAAATCATGATTTTTGCAATTTAGTCTATATAAAACTTTTAATGTTAGATGGAATATTTTCAAGATCATGTCTTTCCAACGTTAGATTGTTTCAAAACTAAAGACAAATACCACCATTGGACTCAACGTAGACGAATATACTAAACTCAATACAGTTTAAAGTGACTAGTGGTTAGTTGACTGACTTCAAGGCTTTCAGTAAAATGCTTATAACTCCTGGATGGAATAAGCTAGAAGATATCTTCGCTACTGATTCACTAAATTATTAGTTGAGAGAGGTTTTTTTTTCGAAAACTTCTGGTAAAAATCTATACTAAATTTTCACTTCCTCTACATTTCTCTTTCGAATGGTAAAACTGGCAGATTTCTAACTATTTTCATTCTCGAGATGTTCATAAAATAATAAACTAAATTACATTTTAACACCAACAATAGTAGTGTAATTGGAAAAAAGTTGTGAGAGGATCAAACTCCTTTTTTAAGCTAAACTCAATCGTCTCGGAGAAGGCTGAACCTCATCTAACCCCGTGTCTGATTACATCATAAAATATTCACTATAAATAAAACAAGACTAGAATTTGTTTTTTATTGACAATAAATCAATCATGTTTATCTTTTCTATGTTCTACAATTACAGCTTCTTCCCATGCACCACGTATTGATCTAAATAAATAAAATAACAATTTTACTTTTAATAATAAAACAAAATTCCATTCCTACATTTTAAATTTTTGTAATGAAACAAGCCATAATGGACAAAGAAATGTTAAAAAAATAATAGCTAATATATATAATATAGTACATAATAATGAAAGACGAGATAAAAATATTACACATCCAATGATATGTACAATTGTTAGTAGTGAAAATATACGAAAACTTGATTTCTAAACAAACAAAAAAAGAAAACAATTCAGTAATTTTTTTCATTAATTATTTTCATTAATTACTTTAATATATTTTCTTAATTCAGACCATAAAGCAAAAACAAGTACAGCTGATGTTACTAAACAAAATGTATGAAATGATGTTGATAAACGTGATGCAAGACAAACAGATGAAAATAAAGCTACACTAAATGATAATGCTTTTTGTACCCTAAAAATATAGCGAAAGAAGAAAAACAACAACAAAAGAGATTAAAAATTATTATTTTTTTCTAAGATCTTTACATTGCTGTTTCAGCTCCATAATCATAAAATATTAAATGAGTTAACATCATTAATGTACTCATTGCATAAATTGTATCTGTACTTATTGTTTTTGTTAATGTAAAAACAACAGGTGATACCATTGAACCAAATAAAAGAAATATTAATAAAGTTTTAAGATTTTCTTGTACTATATAAACAAAAGTTTTAAAATAATTTTTTAATATAAAAACAAAAAAGATAAAAGTTTCTTTGGTTTTTTACATAATTTTATATTAATATGTCTTCGATAAAGAAATAAACCAATAATACCAATTAATGCATTTATAATTAAAATATTTGTTGGATGAAGATTATCATTATCCAAATGAATAAAAAGTATTATAAATAATATTACTCTTAAAAATATAAATAAGAATGATAATAAATATATTCCGTAAATATAATACTTACAAGCTTACTTGTTGAGTTATTAAACCAGATTCAGCTACTGTTGACCAATAAATATGACGATATAATGAAGAAGATATTGAAGAATTTATTTTACTATTCATTTGATATATATGATCATCATCAAAAATTTTAAAATCATGAAGAGATACATCATATAAAACTTTGGGATATTGACTTGACAACATTCTTTTTGTTTTTGAATAATAAATGATTGATTCATCATCGTTGACACATAGATTATTCGTCATTCTGCAGATCTGTTGGTTATGTTTAAATAACCAGTTGATCTTTTTCTGTCACTAGATGTCGATATATTTCATTCAATTGTGATACTTGCTTATCAAAACTTAGATTGATATTGATACATTGACATATTAGAATATGAACATATAGTGAGTACAAAAATTATTCAACAAAATTTATTTTCAATTTTTTTCGACTGCCTTAATCGTTAGAAAGAATCCAAATAGTGATTTGAATATAGAAAATTCTTTTCAACAAGAATATAAGAAAATAAAAATTATTATCAGATTCTTAAAGATAGGGACTTCAGAAAACCAAAATTCTAGTTTTTCAACACCTAGATCGCATAAATAAAATGTTATTAGACTATATAGAACGATAGAGTAAACCATCCTCTACAAAATGAGACATCGCTGAGTTCTCTGCGATGTTTTTTGGCTGAGATACAACAATTTGATTGAACGTCAAAAAATGGTTTTGCTGAAGAATATTAGAAAAACCGACTATAAGGACTTCTGTAACGTTGCTGTATCTCAGCTAAAAAATGTCACAGAGAACTTGGAGATGTCTCATTTTTTTAGGGAATTGTTTGAATTATCTAGTCTAAACAAAATTATATTTATCCATTCTTGGTGCTGAAAAACTAGCCTTTTGGTTTTCTGGAGTTTCTGTCTTTGTAAATCTTATAATAATTTTTATTTTCTTATATTCCTTTTGGAAACAATTTTCTCTATTCGAATTACTACATGGATCTTTTCTAAAGTTTACAGCAACGAATAAAAATGAAAATGAACCTTGTCGAATAGCTTTCATACTCACTGTTTGAGCCATTTCTTGCAAAACGGAACATACTAACCAGAGATTGAAAACGAACCGAACTCGAACTAATTTTCGAAAAGTGAATGAATGTAGGTAAACGTATAAGAAAAATGATCGATTGAGGTCTCACATGTTTTGATGTTAAGACTTTTGTATATATCAGAGATCAAAATGAATAGAAAATTTTCAATTCGGATTCGATTCGATTTAGATTGAGTTGAAAAAAAAAACAATATTATGTAGTTTCACATACTACTCATTTTTCACGATGTTTTTTTTTCCTGACAATGACAGTTATCTATCAATTGTGCTAGAATCTATGTATATTTTGAATAATACAGGACTAAGTATCAGTTTGAATATTTTCAAATCTTCATTATTTGATACTGTAGGAAAGCCGAACAGCTTTTAAGAGGAAGCCGTTGATCATCTACTATCGTTAGATAATACTTGAAAATGAATATCGTTGTTCAATAATGAACGTTTTATGGTAAATATTGATTGTACTATAGATAACGAAGATGATAGACAAAAGGACTACTAATATAAGCACATTTTATAGACTAAAACACCAAAAAATGAAAGAGATAATAGCTATTCTTTGTTAGCGATCATCTTTTATGCAAATCAATCAATCAAACTTTCATGGGACTGTATAACTATATAATAAAGAAAGAAGTCATTATGAACCGAATATGTTAGAAAGGATTTGATACGGCTTCGATCTCTGGTATATATGAATGATCAATCAAATTTATCTAAATTCCCGTTTTGCTTTACTATCATTTCTCGATACAATAACTGATTGTAACCAAATTTTGATAGTATTGTTGAATAATTAATTTGAGTAAGTCATATATGAAAGTAATTTCTGTAGAAATACTCTTCAATCTAACTATTTTTCGTACATTACTCGAAACTATTAAAAAAAAAGAATCTCGTGTGATACGTCATAAGTGATTATTTGAATCGTAATACTCTTTACTGTTTATTTCATTGATATTCGAGTCATGTTAAATCAAAAGATGATTATGCACAATACGAGATTAAGATGACAGTTGTGTCCATTTTTTGTTTATGGAAAATGATGTAGAGACTTACAGAGTCACGTTTTTTTAACTCGAACTCCGAAAATTATTTTCTATAAATTAGCGACAGCTTACGTGTCTGACAATAATATGTAATTTAAGGTCGTATGACGATGATAAAAATACATTTAATGACGAATTTGAAGTCATTGAATAGTGTTGATCTTTTCTTTTGCAACAATCACTTACGAAAATTAATCCAGTGTAAATGTTTTCTTTTGTGTTTTTTTTCTATTGCATGTTATTTCGTTATCGGTGAGCTGTGGAGTTTTTATAATTTACATAATCTCCAACGGAATCGTATTTCAAAGTCCGATGCAAGGCTTTAAAATGAGACCAAGCATTGCTATTTAATTAGTATCGAATTTCTCTATATCCATTTGCTATCTCTCTATATGTTTGTATAACATAAACATAAATTTCGCAAATACCTATCATATAATAAATTATGATGCGTAAGAGAAAATTAATTTTGAATATTATCTTTTACTCCGTTTTACAAGTATATTATTCAAAAAAAAAAAGAAAAAGGAAAAGAAAAGTGAAAGATACATATTCAATATTCATACACACACACACACACACACACACACAAACACCAACTACAAATGGTCTAAATGCCGATCTTTCGATTTTCTTCGATATTTTTTTGAAATAGCTATTTGTTGATTATTAGTACCAATAGCACTATCACGTGATGTTAATGCACTTGGTGTACGTCTAGTTTTTGGTAAAGCTGAGTGTTGTTGTTGTTGTTGTTGAAAGACATCAGTTAATTTAACTCGTGGATTTTTATGTGATTGTTGTTGTTGTTGTGTTAATGCTTGATAACGTGATTTAAAAACATGATCAAGTGATTTATTATATAAATGACGTTTATTAGATATTTGACGTCGTTTTATTGCATCATAACTAGTTCCATACGTTTTAACTGAACCTGATATATAACCAGCCCTAGAAATAAATTTGATTACATATAAAGACAACAAAAAAAACAAACAAAATGTATGTCTTATATTCTTACATTTGACTTATTTCACTATGATCAGTTGTATCTAAATTTCTTTGCATATCATTTACTTTAGCTATATCACTCCATTGTTGTGATGTACAAGCAGAATTTTTTATATATTTTGGTTCATTTATACGATAAACTAGTCCTGTTGTTGATAAATCAGGTTCAGTTGCTTGTTTATCATCATCATTAATATCATAATCAGGTTCAGGTAAGCCTTCTTCATCAAAACCTTTTAATTGTTGTAAAACTTTAACTTGTTCAACAGCATCTTCAACATTATCAGTTGCAAAATCTCCACGTCGATGACCACGGCCATTTTTTCCTCTACTTCGATGACCAATTTTTAAATCTGTTGATGCTAATAAATGTAATAATGTTCCATAACGATGCCATAACATTGAAACAAATTGTACAAGTAAAATAGTTGCAAAAAAAACTAAAAATCCAAAACCAAGTGGTTCAAAACGTAATGGTTCATTATGTAAACGTTTTATTGGTATAAATACATAATCACGTATACGTTCTGAAACAAGTTGAAATGAAAATATAATAACAAGCCATAATGTATTAATCATAAAGAATATAAAACAACCATTGTTACGTAGTGATTTAAGATCACAAACCATTTTTTTTTGATGATCTTTATCTTCAACTAATGGATATAAATAACGATCAATTAATTCTCGAAAAAATTTTGTTTCACGCGGATCAAGCATTACAACTTCAGAATCAAGTAATGATTCTTGAAATATCCATGCAGGATTAACTAAAGAACAAAAATAAAACAACATATGTTCTATATTTATTTGGAATAGTTAAAGTTTTCTTTATAAATATATTATTAAATATTGTCATAGAATCGATATTAATGATTTTATTATGAGTCTATCTTTTTCTTCTAATATATTGACTTTTACTCAGATATAACAAAAAAGCGTATCTTTTTACATCGCTCATATACACCACGGATTCGATGTCCTTGTTCGAGCATACAAACTACGAAAAGATCTCAAACTTTTACGATAAACTATTCTCATAAAAGCTTCTCTCACGAGAGAACATTCCAAAGTGTTCACTCATTTTCGAGTCGGGACTTAATGCGTCTTGTAGATTTTACTGAACTATGTCTACCATGAAAAAAGTTCGTGATCATGGCTTGTTTCTGAGGAGATCCAACCCTTCTAATGAATTTAGGCTGTAGGACCCGACCTTTTGCAGCAAGATCATGTTTTCAAACTTCAATCTGAAATTAGATAAAGATATCAATTAGAGTAGCTTGCATAAAAAATTTCAGGACATTTGAAGTAAGCCTCTCCAAGATACGGAACTTTTAAAATATAGGGTCTTTTCAATAGATACTATGTACAGCATGTTTATTTTTGAAAGCTTTTATATTTCAGAGAGACTAAATATCGTCTTGTTGCACATATTGAATGCTCCACTTAAAATTCACTAAAAATGTTCAACCTCTTCAGAAACAAACTATAGGAACGAACTTTTTTCATGATAGACATTGTTCAACAAGATGCACTAAATCTTGACTTAAAAACAAACAAACATCTGAGAATATTCCCTCGTCAGTTCAAAGTTTCGAATCAAAATTTGAAAATCATTTTTCCTAGTGTTTCTGAGAGAAAACCATAAAAATGCAGTATCTCGACAGTAATAACCTAAAGATCCGAACACTTTTTAGAACATTCATAGCTCATTAGAATTAACATAATGCATATAGTCTCGACTCAAAAGCGATTAATCAGTTTATGAATTTCTCTTGTAAGAATTACTAATTCGTCGATCGTCACTCTATGTTTATCATGATATGTCTAACTATAAGTCTTCAGTATCGTACAAATTGTGGTCTTCATCTTCATGTTTTAATGATCTATATTTTTATTTTGATTCTTTTTTTTTGTTTATTGAAAGTTTTATAAAGAAATTTGTGACTCTTTGAAAAAAATATTTAGTTAAATTGATCATGAAAATCTTTACCTTAAATTCTTATTTCTTATTTCTATTAAAATAAATATCATAAATCCTTACCTAATTCATCACGTTTAATCACTTGTGGAGATTCAAATGAACGTGTAACACCACCATAAGACATAATTTGTCCATATGGTGTACTTCGTGCATTATTTAATCCACGATAAATTAATTGTTGTTGATGATCAATTTGTGGAAAACTAGCACGATTAATAGGTCCACCTGTTGTTTGAGGTGAAGCAGCACAAGCTGCTAATTGCATTAAACTATATTTAGCATCAACATCAGATCCAGTTTGTGCTTTCGTCGTTGGTGGATATAAGCCTGTTGTTGCTACAGCTTCCATTTCTTCATCAAATTTACTCTAAAAAAAACATGCTTTTAGGTCTTAAAAAGTGAAAAGTTATTAGTAGTACTTTTTCCATTCGTTCAATAGCGCCTAAAATTTGTTTTAATAAAATTCCGTTGAGTCCTGATTGCTCAAGACCAAGCCATTTACGTGCATACGAACGTACTCGTTGATCATATTTTTTAAAATTAAAATTTGCAAATACCTTTTATAAGATAATAAAGAACGTAAATCTTTCTATTTGTTTTTTTTTAAAGTATTATTTATTTAATTCTTACTTGATTAAAAAATCCAGCAGATTTTTGTTTAACTTGTGTTAATTCTTGCATTCGTGCACGTTCAATTTCTTCTTTTGTTTGATTTTTTTTCACTTTTTTCGGTGCTTCTCTTGTACCCCATGATACAATATTAAGATTACAAAGAGAATAAATAAGTAAAAATAAATATCCACTTGGTATACATAAAAAATATAATAAGCCTGGTACAATACACCAAAATTCTTGTGGATGCATACAAGCAGCAATAAAGAATATTGAAAATAATAACATTAAAAAAACAGCATTTGGTGATGTCCAAGAATCTTCTGCTATTTGAATTGTTGTACCAACAATAACTGCCATCATTATTATAGCATAAACAGCTGAACAAAATGCTGCAGCACGAATTTGAAAATCTGTTGTTGTATGAAAACATAATAGTAAATAAAAAAAAGCAGGTAAGACAGACATATACATCGATTGCCAAAGACTTGTACCTATAAATTGAAGATAAATCTTTATATCATATTAAGTCTTATATCAAGACTTAAAGAATAAAATATTTTTAAGTTGAATTGAAACGAAATTAAAGTTCTATGCAAAATAATTTTTCGGATTTACGTATTTCCTTTTCTCACTGTGACTCTATCCTTTGTTTGTCTTGTTGCTATTCATCTTCATATTCTATTTTTTCTTAATTTAACACATATAAATATTTTAACCATTGATTTAACTACCAAACAAGCCTATTGTTCATACCCATTATATCTACAGTAGATCTCAATGAATTATCATATATCTCGATAAGCTTGAAAATACTGATGTTGATTATTTGATAAAGTTATATCTTGATCAATTCACGCTTTTCATGTTGATCAATATGACAGTTGTGACAAATCAATACATCATTATCCATTATTCTTAACATGTTGAATATAAATTTTTATCTGTGCAAAAATTAACAATTGCACTATTTAGAACATTCACGAATGTATTCTAGCCATTCAAATATTGAGGATGGCTTTGGAATATGTAAGTCGTTGTTGTTAACGACGTTTAGCACATTTTCCATTGATAAGAACTTCTGGGAAAGGTATCTGCCTAGTGGCGTAACCCGAAGGTCATTGATGGTAGGCAGCGAAAGTTTCGTACCCCAAGAGTATGTCAAAACTATCCTCCAGGATTTTAAAGTCATTTCAAGTCTACTATCAACATGTGTATCACAAGCATATTAGTTTGAGTTCATTTTATATGAGCCTGTCTGATAATAAAGCCCAAATATTTCATTGTATTCGCGCCAGGCAGACTTGTATAAAATGAACTACAACTAATATGCTCATAACGCATTTTGATTTGCGTTTTTCTCCTTAATAGTAGAACAGTGCCCAACGATTTCTGGAGAAGTTCATGTAATATAGTCTCAATGATGGTAATTATTACAGTTTTATTTCTTCGATATAGCCCTAGGCCTAGCCCATCTTTAGTTACACCACTATGTCTAACGTCTGTTGTCCTTGGTTACTCTGGAAATGCATTTAATGATCTTTGACTTCCTTCTAAAACGTAGTTGAAAACTATGAAGCAAATAAGGTAGAAGAAACTACTATAGGAATAATCATTCTTATGCGATAACTTTATCAGAAAATGTTTATACTATATTGTATAAGTCAAGTGAAATTGTGACTAAATAATTTTTACTTAATCTATGAAATATTTCTTATTCTTTTATTATCAATTAAAGATCAAAATCGAATAAATTCTCATTCAAATCTAAAAACATACCAAAACATGCATTGAATGCACCAATAATCATTAAAAGTACTGTTGCTGGACCAAGAACAGTTGAAACCATTAAAAAAAGTTGATAGATTATATATAAATATGATATACTATCATTAACAATTACAATTCTTTTATATTCAGCAAGAAAATCAATAATATTTGCAATAGTTGATGGTACCCATCGACGACGTTGATTAAAAAATTCCTATGATTTCAAAAAAATAAAAAATTCAACTCTTTTCTAAATAAACTAAAACAAACATGAAATGATTCTGGTGCATAAGTAAGTGCATCCGATGCAGCACAATATTCAACACGATAACCTTCTTGTAATAGAAGTGTACATAACCAACGATCTTCACCTATACAAAAAAAAAATTTCAATAGAAATTATAATAATAATTAAAAGATTTATTTTGACAAACCTTGATCATATTGTACATAATGTCGAGCTTCGGTTGATTTTGTACAATATGTACGAAGAACATGATCATCCATTAATGCTGAACCACGAAAAAGACTAAAACAACCTGGACTACACATCTTCAAGAAATAAAAAAACGAAAAGATTTATTTTTATTTCATACGAAAATAAATAAATAAATAAATAAATTTCTTACCACACAACCTAATATATGTTCAGCAGCTTTTTGAAGCCAATGACCAATAGCATATTCAAATTTTTGATACCAAACAACAGGACCTTAGAGTTTTATAATTAATAGACAATTAAAAGTTAAAAAAGTTGTTTTTACCACTTCCAATTGGATGAATACGTCCACAAGCAGCTCCGACTTTTTTATTTTTTTTCATTCGATCCACAAGTAAACGTACAGCTTCAGGATGAAAATCAACATCACCATCAAGTGCTAATAAATATGTATTTTCCATCTATATCAAAAAAAAATTTTATATATGCTTTGGTTTTTTTTCTTTTTGAAAATTCTTTACTTGTATACGTTTTTTATTATCCATATTATTAAGTAAATTTCCAAAACCTTTAAATAATTTCGATTTATTTTTTGAAGAATTCTTTTTTCGTTTTCGTTTATATAATTTTTCTATTATATTTAAATCACCAAATAGACGATAACCAAGCAAATAGTACATATACATCACCTGAAAATTTATTTAAAGAATGAAACAAAAAAAGAAAAGAATTTTTTCAATTACTTGACTCCATCGTTTTTTATGTCGAATTTTTGTTTTATCTTTTATATGTGCAATAAGAAAATTTCCACCTGGTAATATCCATGTTAATCGACCACCATATGGTGTTGGTGTTTTAAATGGTGGAGGAATTTTCATTGGACATTGATGAATAGCTCTAATAAATATTTTCAAATAAAAACAAAACAAAAAACAAAAAACAAAAAAATTAAAAAGACATACGTAGCAGCACGATCAACAACTCCAAGTAATTGTTGAACAAATTTATTTGGTACTTGTTCATTATTGTCATCTTCTTCCATAGCATCATCAAAAAATATATGTCCTTCATATTCATAATAATCAAGATCTTTAAGATGTAAATAGTTTCGAGCTGTTCGACGTGCACATTGATCACTATCCAATCTAAAATATAAGATATATAATACAAAATTTTCAAATACCGATAATAGATTTCATATTCATAAACGATCTAAATATGAAATTTAAAATTTTGTATTATAAAGTTTACTTGACTTCATACTTTCATAAATGTTACGAAATTTTTTTTCGATTTGAAATGATTTTCATAAGAAACTCCTGTAGGATTAGACGGCGGGTATCAATGAAAATTTTTTAGACAAATTCATATTAGTTATTTATGAATACTAAGTTTGCTGTTAAAGAAAAGGTATTACTATGATATATCACTAATAGAGTCCATCGGATTGACTCTAGTCACACCGATCTAACTCTCTCATCATACAATTTGACAATAGACTACTACACAATAGATCAAGGATGTAAATATAAAAAACAAAGCTCTAGTAAAGAAACTGTATTGAGGTCAAAAGACTAACGAGAGGAGTTCTCCAACTGATTAATCGCTTTTGAGTCGAGACTATATGCTGCATGTAGACCCTAAGGTTATCTCTGCTGAGATACTGCATCTCGATGGTTGTTTTTAGGTGACACCGTGACCTCCCACAGGAACACTAAAAAAGCTCATTTTCGAATTTCGACTTGGAACTTTCTATAGAGACTGGTCTCACTAAGAATAGTTGATTGTGAAAATTTCAGGTATTTTCGTTGTTCCTATCCTAAGATACAGTTATAATAAAAACTTGTCTTTTACACTGCTCCGATAGACTCAATATTCTAATTTCAGGAAAGGACAAAATCAAAAGATTCGGAAGCTCTCATAATAAACTATTTTGGTTAAGATTTGTCTCTGTGCAAAGTTTCAAATTGAAATTCGAAAACGAGTTCTCCGAAAGTTCCTGAGGGAGACCACGGTATTGACTAAAAAACCTGTAAAAAATGGAGTATTTCAGCAGCTATAAGCTAAGAATCCAAACTCTTTTTAGGATATTCATAATTAACTGGAATCTACATGATACGCATAGTTCTGACTCCAAAGCAATTAATCAGCTGGGAAAACTACGTTCAGAAGTGTCGCACTACGAATATTGGACGAACACTTAAAACACTATTAAGGCACCCATTTGAATACTTAATAACAGTATAGTCCAAATTCTGACAGCATACACCAGAGATGCTTAGAAGCAATAGATAAGACTATCATATGATATTTATTATTAATATTTAAATTTCATCTTAAAATAAAGATGTTTTAAGAAATCTTATCTGAACAAAATGAAAATTATTTAAATTATTAAACAAACCTCATAATTGATTTTAATAATTGTAACATTTCTGTTTCAGTTTCATGCCACATTGTTGCACATGAATATATTTTTGTATGTACATCAGCACTTAATTTTTTTTCCATTGATAATTCTTCCATACTTTGTTCATCAAATTCTGATTCACCATTTGTTGTACTCATTTCATCATATATACCAGTTAATAGTTCATCACGTTCATTACGACGTCTATTCATCATTAATGATTGTTCAAGTAATGTTGCACAATAACGTGGTGAAACAAATAAACTATATAATAAAAAAAAACAAAAAATAAATATATTACAAATAAATTTCATACAATTATTTATTTACCGTTCTGTAAATGCTAAACGTTGTCGTTTACCAAACCAAATATGTCCACCAATCCATAATTCTGATAACCACCATAAAAATAAACCACAAATAACTTGCCATTTAAATGATTCTTTTGCATAATCAGCATAACAACTCCAAAAAAGAAAATTTTCAATAAAAACTGTTGATTGTGGTGCAACTGAACACATAACAAGTAATATTGTTAATGCTAATGGTGTAACTAATGTTATTGGTAATGCAAAACATATACGTTGCATACAAAGTTTACATGCTAAACGACCCATATAAAAACATAACATATCTGATAAAATTTTTAATATCATTGGTGTTAAATAAATAATCCAACGATCTTTTGGATTTGTTTTTTCACTTCCAGGATTATTAATTCCTCCATCTATTCCTCCTCCTACTCCAGCAATTGAATTTAATCCTTCGTCATCATAAACAAAATTACTTGGTAAATCATTATCAAATTGTCTTTTTATTCGTTTTATATATTCTGATGTATTAACAATAGAACGACGTTCACGTGGTGGTAACATAGGAAACATTCCTTGTGATGGTTGTTGATCAAAGCCTAATGCTGCCCATGAATTTTGTCCTAAAGATAATTTTGGTAATGGATCTTCTAATTGTTCATTATTATTACTAATTGGAAAAACAACTGATGTATTAAATATTCCATGATGAAATATATATGCAAATAAAACAGTAACAAGAATTTTCCAACATGTTATTATTATTGATGTTTTGGGTCGTGTTGCAAGAATATTTTCTTTTAATAATTTCATATGTACTAATGTACGACCACCAATTTTTATATCTCGATCAACAAAATTTTCCCACCTAGAAAAAAACAAACGTTGATATGTAAAAATACAACATTAGAAGTTTGATGAGTTATAGTTCAATAATTATACATAGAGTCACATTGGTTTATTCTTTGTACAGCAAAATATGTAATGTTATGAATTGGTGGTTTTAATCGTATTTTGGAGATAGTCTATATGTGATTAATCGGGTTAGAAAGCACCTAATGACTAGCGAAAGTAATTCTGACTCACGAAAGAAATACCTCAGGTGGTTATGATTGATTTGTTGGATCTTCGATTCATTTGTAAGGAGTACCCAAAAAAATCAAATGACGGAATTTCGATCTAAAATTTTGTCTGTAGATCGTTCTTTGACTTTTACGACATAGGACTATTTTTAGCAATTCAATATCTTAATGAAGGAATATTCTTTTCGGCTGAAACTTTTCAAATCTTCTAAGAGTCATTAGACCGATCTATAGGCAAAATTTTGAAATCGAAATTCTGTTATTCGGTCTTCCGGGGAGTATTTAGAAAAATGAGTCAAAAATTCAGTAAACTAATCATAACTTGACGCTAAAGGCCAATAGGGGTGAACTCTTTTAGACTTTTGATATTCTCACTGAGATCTGCCTGTAGATTCAATATGAGCTCAAATGGTGGTTTACTTATTTTAGGTGTCGTAGAAAAATAGAACGAGTATTCTTGTACAATGATATCTAATAATATAAAGTATTTAATATTATTTTGAAGAAATGGTTTATGAACTCGAATTTTGAATCATGTCTGTGCCAGAATTATATATAAGTGAGTGTAAGTTCAATAACTCGATAACGACAACAACTAGCGATCTGCAATTTTTCATCAATTGAAAGAGGGGAACTTCTGACAACTTTTTATTTTAAAATTCATCATCTTCGCAAATATATTGCATGACAATAGTGCTCTGTGTCAATGCTTCAAGTAGAGGAACTTCAGATTTATAGTTCAAGGTATGATTCAAATGGTTAACTTCGCATATTTCAATATTGAGCAAACAAAATCGTGTATCTATTCGATCAGATTATATATAATTCTATTAAAATTTAGCAAATTTTCGGACTTCTTTTTATCACAAATATTCTTGAAATGGAACATCGTTTTCATATAATGTTTTGTGAATATGATGGGTCATAAAATAAAAAGACATCCGAAATTATTCTTCTTCTTTCAATTGCTGAAACCGCAGGTCGCTATCTACTAGTATTGTCGAGTTATTTCAATCAAAATTCTTTCCTGTTTCTTTATACTTTCTTATCCATTCATGAATATCTTACCAACTAAGTGAAACAAGTATTAAAGCCACAGGTAATTCCCATTCAATATGAAATCCAGCTAAAATTGTTTGTAGATTTTGATCAATTGAGCTCATATTACTTGCAGGTGTTGTAAACAAAAAATTTTCATTATTTCCACTAATACCAGAACCTAATAAATCACCATTACCACTCATAAAATCATCTTGACGTTTATGTCGATTTAATAATGATATAGAATGTGTACTTGTTGGAAAAAATAAAGATGATGATGTTGTTTGAATTGTAATTGGTCCATCATTTTTTAAAAATTTCGATGCTAATGCAATTCCAACACATGAACATTGCATAGCAAATGCAAAAAAATCCATTAGAAATAAAAGACTTCGTTGAACAATTGATGAATTTGATTTTGTTAAAAATAATTTTAAAAAAGCAGGTACAAGACATACAGCATTCATTATTAATAAACTTCTTGCTGCATCTAATTTTGGTAATATATGAAAAACAAATATTGCTATACCAAAACTGTGAAGAGTTTCGATGAAAAGAACCTATTTTGTAATTTATAAAAATTAAAAGCCGAAAAAGAAACAAACAAAAAAAAGCATACGATTGTAAAAATTTTCACTGTTGGCCATGGTTTATTACCAAATAAACATTTACAAAGACTGTCGAAAAATGTAAATAAATATGGAGCACATACCGCTATCAATAACATCCATACCCAACGTTCTTGATAAGGTGTCTGAAATAGAATAATGAATACATTGATTATATGTTACAGATTATGAGAGCATAATTAGATTTTAACAATTTTCCATTAAGACATAAAGCTCGATAAATTCTAGAGAATATTAGGTGGTGGAAAAAAGTTTAAGGACAACGTATTTTTGATTTTTTATATAATGTTAAGCAATTAGCTCATATCCAGATAGTACACAGTAATTTTCAGATCCTAGAAGATTTTGTCGGTGCTGTTTTTTTAACAATGCCATTTTAAAGAGAATAAAATGAGGAGTCGTCGCATTTTTTTATGATCTTCCCTTAAAACGTTAAAAAATACCACAAAAAACTGTAAGAAAACGAAATTTATCAAAAAAAATCACTAAAAACCGCTTTTTAATGGTTTTCGTGACACTTGTAATTTTTCGAAGGAAGCTCGTAGAAAATGCGGCAACTCCTTATTTTATTTTCTTTAAAATGGTATTCTTGAAAGTAGTTCCGACAAAGTCTTCTTCGATCTGAAAACTAACGTGTCAAGACTTTTTAGAAACCTCGTCATCATAGTTCATCTATGAAGTTTTGGTATAATAATGCATTAGATAGAAAACTCTATTGACTATTCAAATTACTATCGAAATTTGAGCTAAATAGTTAATCTTATAGAAAAACGATACGTTGTTGTTAAACTTTTCCCCACTACTTTATGTTCTCTAGAATTTCCAATAGAAAATTCTTTTAGGAGGACTATGCAAACACTGGAAATCTTATGCGGGAACATCCCCAAGTGACTCCCTCCATTTGCCTCCATATTTTATCAATATCTAGAAGATCACTAGAGTAGCGTAACCTCCAAAAGTTTTTCTGTTCACGTTTAGATTTGATCGAGATAACGACTTTTTAAGAGATTCCTCCGGTAGGAGTACAGTTTTCGTAACAAAAAAAAACTTCGATCTAAAACTTTGTACGTATGAAGGTCTCTATTAGACTATTTCATATGTAAAGTTTCATCAGTTTGGGATATAAAATTGCTAATGAGGAAATCTCTTCAGGTGTCAAATTATTTTTCGACCGTAACAATGTTCATATAATGAGTATCGAAAAGCGGTTCCACATCTGGAGAGATTTCCTCATCTATAAAGCGGTATCCAAAACTGATGAAACTTTTTGCATGAGATAATCTAATCAAGATCTTCATATGCACAAAGGTTCAAGTCGAAATTATGTTTTTTTTTTTCGAAAATTGGATTCCTACGGAAGGAATCTACTAAAAAGTCGCTATCTTGACCAAATATAAGCACAAGCAGAAAATCTTTGGTGGATACGTTACTCTAATGATCTCCTACATATTGATAAAATACAGAGGCAAACGGAACGGATCACTTAGGAATGTTCCCTTGTTAGTTTGTTATTTTAATTGTCCGGAGAAAGTATGCTCTTACGAAAAAGATTCACTCTTCTAGATTTTTTACTTTTCTTACCTCTTGTACTTTAGCAACTGAATTTGTCATAAGTAATAAAGCTCCTTTACTAACAAGTGCCGTTATTAGTATACCAATATTAAGTACAACGTATGTAGCAATTTTTAACAGACGCATTGATAAACGATAACAATGAATTGTTTTCTCATATGCTTCTGGAACATTCATTTCTCTAGCTGCATCCCAACAATCTAAACTATCACTAAATTTTAAAAAAAACTAAAAATTGAAATATTTTCATTAAAATAAATAAATTTACTCGTCGAATAATGTTTTTTCATCATCACGTTTTGATGTTTGATTTCCATGAGAAAAACTATATATGGAATTTTCAAATTCATTACTTTGACGTGCTTTACGTGCTTGATTATCTTTAAATTTTTGTTTTTGTACCATAAGAATTTTTCTAATCATTAAACGTTTTTGTTCTGATAAAATATTTTCATCATGTAATTCACCTAAAACATTTCTTGGTTCTGATTTAGAGCGTGCAGGTTTTATTTGTTGTTTTTCTTCTTGTCCAATAGCCCAATCTAAGAAATACAAAAAACAAACATTGTTTTATTTTTTCACAATCATAAATATTTTCTACCGGTCATAAATAAATCGCCACTTGTTGCAGCAGCTTTTTTTTGTCTCATTATTTGTTCAGCTGTTGTTAAACTCATTGTTGGTGCCATAACACCATCATGACTTTTTAATGGACCTTCTGATATTAATGTTGTTGCATATGGTAATCCTGAAGCTGATTGTATATTTGTTTCAATGGGAAAATTCTTCTGTTGACCGTGTTTATTAACCATTGGTGTAAATTCATCTTGAACAAGAATACGAGTTTCACGTTCAGATAAACCTTCTAAAGATGATTTTAATTCATCAGATGTTGATATTTTAAGAGATGGATGTGTTGGGGAAGTTATTCCATGTTCAATACCATTTAATTCATCGATTTCATCATTATCAAGTAATTGTAATTTCTATAAAAATAATTTACAAAAAACAAAAAAATTTTTAATTGATATTTTTTTGAAAATTCAAAAAATATTACTTTTGCTACTTTTAACATATCATCATGTTCTTGTTCATTTAGTGGTGTAGGGGCATCAGACGAAAGTCTTTTTTTATCTTTTGATTTTTTCTTTATAAAATGACCGGAACGTCGGCCTGTTTTATTATCCATTTTTAATGTTAATTGTTTTATATTTTTTGTCGAAACCTAAATAATTTCATATTACTTTTTTAAAACTAACGAATGGTGCATAATAAACTGGACAAAACGTTGTCTTCTTTTTTTTTCGTCGGTACAAAATTTAAAAGATGAACGCCTACTTAATCGTCTAACTGCGACTTTCAAAAAGAATTTTGTATAAAGATTTTACTGAAATTTCAAATATACTATAAAGTTCTCCATAAAATTTTCTATATTTTGATATATGTCTCAAGATGACAGAAGGCATACATGCGAGAAAAGTCTTTGGAGTAAACAATGAGAAAAACTCTTCTGTGGCAGAATTACATCATTGTTCTTTTCCTAATATTTCTACTTTTCAACAGAGTTCGGCAGAGTAGGAGAAGGGTACAAAAAAGTCTTTCTCTGAAGAATTCTGTTCTTCAATTTAACAATGATACCATTTTGTTCACAATTAAATTCTACACCCGACTGCAGGAGAATACACATATGCATTATTTTATCGAGTTTGAGGATATCGCCCTTCGAAGATCGCGTTTACCCTCCCAGAGTTTTAAATTGTCCTTCCGGAGAAGAAAATTTGCATAAAACACTGAACCTGTCTTACAACATGTCTCGCTTTGTGAAACATGGTTTTCCAGAATACGTCTCAAAATATCATTAGGTGTTGGTTCAAAGCCTTTTTGTTCTGAACAATACCAACAGAAACTCCGAGAATGTCGTGGAAGTAGAGAGCACGAAATCCTATATCTATTGATGCTAAACACTATAATTTTAGCATCAGTTCTGATAAGTGAAAACTTGCGCAAAATCAGAAATCGTAGTTAGACGATTGAGTAAGTGCTCATATTTTAAACTTTGTACTGACAAAAGAAAACAAAGACAATAGTTTTGTAGAATAGTAAATTCTCTGGTGTATTGGAAAGTGCCCTTAAAAAGAGAGCAACGTGTTGTCTCGTTTTATTATGCATCACTTGCCAAACACAAAAAAATATTTACTTTTGGTAATGATACAAGTTTTTCTAATGTTCGTTTTCCACTTGAATTTATTTGTGTTAATAAACTATGACGTTCATTAGCATAATGTTTAGCTCTACGTAGAAGACTTTTTCGTACAAGAAAACCTTTAACTACTTTTTGACATTTAATTATATTTGATATATACTGTTCATATTGTTGATTTAATTTTTCTAAATGTTCGAATTTTATAAAAACCTTAAAAAAAGAAAATTTTTTAAAATTTTAAATAGAAAAACAAAATAAGTTTTTTCTTTTTACTTTTGATTTTCCAATAACATAATCAGTTATTTTTAAATCTTTGAGAATTTTTTCGCATGTTATTGCATTAGGTCTTGTTGGACTACTTTGAGGATACGCGATAAATTTATATCTAATTGTTTAAAATAAAAATGAAAAAAGAAAATTTCTTTTAGAAAAAAAAAATCAAATAAAAACAAACCGATAAAAAAATTCTTCAAATATAAATCGAACTGGCCAACCTTGATTTCGTATATAAGATATTTCAAGTATACCGTTATAACGTAATTGTTCTTGAACTAATTCTTCATCAAATTGATTAGCTACTTTACCGTGATTTGGTTTAATACATCTATGAATAAATATTTAAATAGAATATTTTATCAAAATAAATATTTTCTTCTACGATGTTTTATTCAGATTTTCTCTATCGAAGAAGTGATTTTAAATTTCCGATGACTTACACATCGCAATAATGACTATATTTATATTTCCTAACACGAAATTTGGCGGACAATGAAAATATGAAAAAAATATTTACGCGATAAATTTAAGATATATCTATCTTCTTTTTTTGTCTACCTTGAAACTTTGTATATCTTATCTGATGTTATATTATCATATTGATGTATTTTATTTTTCCCAACAACCATATTTTGTCCATTTATATCATCATTATCTGTTATTAAATCATCGGTTGGTACATGAAAATCAATAGAAACGGTTAAACTTTCACATGAATCAGGAAATGTATGTTCAATTTGTTGTGAAATTGAATCTTTTGATAAATATTTATTATTATCATATGTAATAGTTTTATTTGTATCATCATGAAAAGGACGTGGAGATGATAATAAAAGCCAATGACCATGTCGATCAAGTCGACAATAATCAGCTCGTTCACTATCGAAATCATATGATTTTGATATAGTCTTATAATTATGAATTGTTTGCCAACTATTCGTAGTTTTTTCATTTGATAATGATGATATTTCAAGATTTTGATCATCAAATATAAATATTGATGTTACATCCGATAAATCTTGTCGTACATCATTTAAATATTGTTGTTGATCAATAGAAAATTTATTAATTGATAATAAATTTTTTTTTAAATCAGATTTTGTTGAAAATAAATTCAAATCTGACATTCGATATACGATTAGAAACGAATCGAATAAAATACAAAATGTTAATAAAATTTAGTATAGTTAGTTAGGTTACTTGCTCAACATTTAAGACTAATCAATAGATAAACATAAAAAAGAAATTACTATACCTTACTTTTTATCTTTAGTGAAACAAACAAATGTTCGTTTGAAGAGAAGAAAATAACTAAAATCCAAGCACGCAATGGGGACAAAAATGAAAAGACACAAGCGAAATAAGCCTTTCGACGATCAATAAAAAAAAATATATAAATCGTGTCAATTAATCACATCAGTAACGAATAGTAAATCTTCGAATTCAAACTCTTCGATAGATCTTTAAAATTTTTCTCATGTTTAATTTTACACACTCGAATAAAAATGTTTTTATTTAATCAAATACATTGAATAATGAATATAAACTCAAGACTGAAAGATAAATCTATCCTTTGTTATTCTATACAATATATAAATGAATACGTCTACCTTCATATAAACTTCACACAAATTTCTTTATTAGTTTCTCATTGTCGATGTACACAATACATTTAAACAATTTGTATCATTGTCACGAACACGAAGGTAACAAGAGAACAAATACAATAGAATTTAAGAGAATGTTGAATAATCTAACCGACTGGGCAGTAGTAATAGAAAAGAAGAGAAAAAAAAAAAGAAACATCCTCTTCTACTACCACCCATATACAAATGATATTTACATAGTGATCTACATACCTGACAAAAGATGGCTCAGCATCTTTCATTTTATCGAGTAATTCAGCAAGAGAATTCTACGAACGAAAATATTTTGAAAAAAAAAGTGTGCATTCGAATTTTAGAAATATTTACTTTAAAATGAACAGCAACTGTATGTTGACTAAAACGTTCTTTTTGAATTGTATTAGGTTTATATGGTCGTCTATATAAAGTATCATAGAAAAAGAAAACAATTTTGATGAAAAAAATGATCAACATACGATTCTTGTCGAAGAGATTTAGCAGCTTTTTGACTTAAATTTTCTTTTGTATAGTCAGCATCAAAAGATTTTGGACGACGAGTTGGATAAACTGATATTGTTTTAGGTTTACTTATCATTCCAAATGGTGAACTTAAAATAATCAAAATTACACAAAGATTATATGAAATATTTCATCTTTTCTTTGTACATAATAATAATAGTTTTGTATTGGATTAGATCTGAATCAGCATATGTTGACAAAAAAAAAACAACAGTTTCATATGGACACGTTTTGAATTTTTAGATTAATTACAAACTTGACAAATTTCTAATGAGGATCAGTCTCCAAGTGTGAAACGGTCAATTAAACTGATATTTTGTCCATAGGGAGTCTCCGGCGAGACTAGTAGAAACCTATAAGAATTGGTCTCCATGCGGTGTTCTTTTCAAGTTATTATAATTTTACTGAATTTTTAATCGCTAACAAGATATTTGTGAATAAAATCGAATTACGAAATTTCAACCTGAAATCTCTCCTATAGGCAGGTCTCATAGATATTAGAATGTTCTGAAAGTTTCAATCTAAAGGGATGTGTTCTTCTTCAGATACTGAATATCTAAAAACAATCGTATGTCACAAGGAGAATGGTAAGGAGACCTGCATATAGACAAGATGTAGTTTGAAATTTCGTAATTCGATTTTTTCACAAATATATTGTCAGAGATAAAAAAAAACTCAGTAAACTTTTGATAAATTTCGAAGGACAGCGTGTAAAAACTAAGTTTTATAGGCTTCTACTAGTCTCGTCGAAGTTTAATTATGACGAAAATATTAGTTCAATTGATGAGTCACAGTTGGGAACCTCCGCTCACAAGCTTTAAATAAAACAATTACGTTTTTGAAAAGTATTTTTTGAAAGATTTAATTAATAAGAGCACATATAGAAAATAAAATTTACTACACGATGTGGATTTTTAATCGAAAAAAGTTATTGATTTAAACAGAATTTACAATGATCTGCAGAAAAATACTATTCAAGTCAAGGATTTCGGCAAGTCCCTGCCGAAAAACTCGAGACAATGGTAAAACTTGGAATCAAGAATTCTGTGACTGGACTCTTACTAGCTCCATTCGTGACCGGACAGAGACAGCTACTGGATTACTGCTTTCAAGTTCCTATCATTTTTTGCGGCCTGTATTTCTTGACTTGGATATTGCTATCAGATGCACTTAGAATTAGTTTTCTGAAAGAGAATTAAATATTATTGACAGATCTTAACTAAATTATTTGTTTGTTTTTATTAGTGATAAATCTAATACATAGAATGCATGATCAAAGTTCATCAATTTGAACATAGATAACAAGAATGTTAATCGAAGTCAAGGATAGAAGTTACAAAATTTTTAGCATAGGTCATCGCCGTGTTTGAATAGATTATCGATTCGAGATATTGACACATGGATTTTTAGCGACTTCTATAAATTACAGCTCATTAAAAGGATAAGTGAATATATTTGCATTCTCAAAATTGATATGAGTAAGTTTTCAAGGATTTAAAAACGAAAATTTCGGATTTCGTGTTCTTATTTTTAAAATACTTTAAATTTCAAAAATCATTGAAACTGAATTACGAACGCAATAAACTCAAAAACCTTGGAATTTGCGATTAGATTTGATAAGATAAGGTATCATTAATAACACTGTACTTTACTGTCGATACGACACAACCAGAAAAAGATTTTGGGATTAAAGTCTTGCTATATGAATTTGCTCGTGAGTAAAAATAATATAAATAGTTTGAGATTTGATAACAATTATCAAAATGCAAATCGTTTATATCTACGTATATCTTGAACTCAGATATCTCGAATGCATCATAGTATGTATGAAGATTTTCAAAATTCTAATTTTGTTTATTTTTATTTATTAATTAGAAGTAATCAATAGTGTTTTTTTTATATTGATATGAAGAAAAATAGTATAAAATAATCACTATCAAAGACATTTCTATTTGTCTTATTTATTCATGATTAACTTGATTTTAAAATAGCTTTCAGTACAGAGAGTGAAAATTCTTTGAATTTCTAATTCTATGTACGTAAAAATAATTGTAGGCAAAAATAATCGCATGGGTTATTTTTTGAATGATTTTATTATAAAACAAAGTATGGAGTTGCATAACTTAGTCTACAATATAATGTAGAAAGGCTCATTGTATCAAGTATTTTATGTGATGAAAGTTAAAGTTTAAAAACGTGAGTACAGCGTTACCAGCATATCAACTTTGATATGTTCGATGATTGTTAAACACTAAACTGACTCAAATTCTTCATATTCTCGTTCAAAACATAAAACGTTCCTATTTAAAATGCTTAGATCTATAAACTTCTGTGTCCTTTGGATATATCTAATGCAGTATAAGATTAACATACGTAGATGATAGAAGAGTATCTGATATGCTAGTTGTATCATCACTAATAGTAAACAAATAACCAATTAATTCAATTCCACTTTTTTCCATACATTCCATTAAATTTGCACTAAGATTATCTCGATTTTTTTCTAAAAATCCACGAGCATCATAAACAACCTAAATTAACGAAGAGAAATGAAACAAATAAATATAAAATTTAATATATATATATATATTCTTATTTTGTACTTTTCCAGCATAATGATGAATTCCAAAAGCTGTTTCATTGCCTCTTGGTCTTATATATCTTGGATGATTTTTACAATGACTATGAAATTTTTGTACCAATGATTCATCATTTGCTTTTGGAAAACGAGTTTCTTCATCAAGTAATGCAAATATACCTAATGGCTACAAAGAATTTTATTTTTAAAATTAAAACAAAGACAAAAAAAAAAGAAATAAAGAATTTTAACATACTCCCATAAATAATTCAATTAAATCTTCATTATTTTGAAATTCAACTTTTTCCCATGATACACCTTCTGTTCCATAATCTTGTTCTTCTTGTAAAAAAATATGTTCATTAAAATAATACTGTAGATGTTCATTTGCAACATTGATACATAATTGTTCAAAACTATTAACTTGAAAATTTTCAAAACCTGACATATCTAAGATTGAACATGTACGATAAATATTATTATCTGTTTGATTACGTCTATTTAATATCAAACAAAAACAATTTATAAAATTCTGTTTTTTAAGAAAATAATATTACCGTCGATTTGGTTGTAAAAGTGTATTTGTTTGTTTAACAATCCATGAAAATAAACGTTCATATAATGCTTTAGCAAGTGCATCACGACAATCATTAGCTTGGTCAAAATTTTTTAAACTTATTACACGTTCACCTAGAAATATTATTTTTTTTAATAAATAAAATGTAATGTAAAATTTTATGATATACCTTTAGTTATACTAAATGTTGAAATAAGAGCCATTGTAAGAATTTCTTGATCAAGTGCAAGTAAGGTGCAAACTATAAACATAGAAATAGTTATCAATTATCAAATTCATTCAAATCGGTTTATAGTGAAAATACGAAAATTTAATAATCGTTATGTCTTTCAACTACAAAATTTCATAGAAAAGTTGTACATAAATTGTTGCTGAAATCTGAATTATTCCCATCATTCTTTGGCTTTTATCTTCTGTTTATCTAGTCTCATCAATAATATTTACAGATGTAGATTAAATATGAAAAACAAATCTTTCTATCGGAATCTGTAATCATCATTATCATATATTCGGAACGATTATCGAATTCCGATTAGAAACTTTCATTGGGAGTATCAAAGTAAGGTTCGACCGGGTTCAAAAATTTTAGGCTCGATAGGCTCTATCTACGAGACTTTTATCTCGAGTTACTCAGTTGGATGAAATCTAGCTGAATAGTTCTCAATAAAAGTCTCGTAGGTTTTTCTTAGAGAAAAATCTTCATCACTTTCAATAATATCTCCGTCTCAATACATACATGATTGTGAAGTTTCAAGATAGAATAATACTTCTTAAATTTATGAAATAGGAATCAATCTGAAGAATTCAATGAAATGAAAGTTCAACAAA